AGTGTTAAAATATTATTAGTATTTTTTCTTTGTCCAACATATATATTTTTTATTTACCTGAACCAAAGAAATACATGTTCATATAGTTTTATCTTATGTAATGATTGTAGCAGTCTTTGTATTCTGTTCTAGCTTCAACAAAAGACCACTGTTGCTCTTATTACACTTAATGAACCCAATTACCTCCTGTGTGCTTTTGGAGCCCATGTTTCTTACAGTATGGATTGAACACAATAGAGATCCATTTTCCCTTTTACTTTTCCCAACCATTTTATCACCTCTCTCTTTTCCCAGCATGCCACAGACCAATCAATCTTCCGTGATAACAGTTATGGTGATGGACAAAGGGGGTAATTTCTGTAAACAAACAAAATATCTGGGATTTGAGCTTGCTTTCGTCCACTCAGAGAAACTGCAGTTACACAGAAGAAAGATATGTTTTGGACTTGGCCAGACACTGTTCAGTAAAAATTCAATTAACCGGGTGGCCTTAGCGAGATTGGCAAAGTCTATTTAAGTGAAAAATAAAGTAACATTGAGTCGTGAATCCTCGGCTTTCTCTGGACCATTATCAGGGCAGAGGCTGTATTCCGCTCACAGATCTCACCATTGATTTTCGACAGACTTTGTTCTTCAATTATGTTTTGAGAGGAAGACGAGGGCTTTGTTTCTCGGCGTAGAATCGCTGAAGCGTCATGGGCTGTGGGTCCAGTAGAAGAATACATAAACTTTTCATGCACTTTTCCGTCTATATCCAAGAACTACAACGTAAAGCTACCGGGCATACTCACACCGTAAAGGTACACGGAGGGACTTTCAGGCGCTGTTTCTATGAAGGCTGTTTACCTTCATAGAAAAAGCATATTTTTAGTGCTGTTCAATCGATTAAAATATTTAATCACGATGAATGGCATGAATGTCATAGATAACTCATGATTAATCACAAAAGAATCGCACATTTTTGTCCCTTGAATAATAGTGTGAATACTCTTATCAACATAGAAAAGTGGATAGGCTTTGTGGAATTATTATTTTATTATTTTTTTTTTTAATTGCATCTGTGTTTGCGACCATGTTTGTCTGCCCCAACACTGATGTACTAAGGGTCATGACGTCATCACACAGAGCTGTTAGTTTACATGTCGCAGAGCAGAGCTATCGCTTTTATTGGAGAAAATAAGTCCAGCGGCCAAACTATCTATTAAATAGTGAGACCGATATGAGGCCTGCTGCGATACACGCTCCTCCGTGAGTTTAAGGTTATAAAAACAGTGCGGAGGAGTGAAAACAGCTGGAAGAGAGAATCTGTAAAACATCTGTAAGTGCGGATTTGCCATATGTTTTGGAACGGAGTTTATTTCGTGTTTTTGTCGTATGAATAACATCAGCACACCTGACAAGGCTTCTCAGTTTCATAGAAATTGTTTTGCTTTCTGTTTACAGCTACAGTCGTTTTTCCAACATTATTAACAGTGGCCACAGCTTATGAAAATATTAGTTTGCTATAAAAAAATAAATAAAAATTACCGCCGTTAAAATTCATTTGCTCTAACTTGTTAATAACCCAATATTTTGACAGCACTAATGTTTTTGTTTTGAATGTTCCAAAGTGACATTAAACTTATCCATCTTGCATTTATTCAATTAGAGGTGATTTTATTGCTCCAAAATACTCTGAAAACAACTCAAATCTGCCATTTCTGACCACTGTAAAAGAGAGAACCACATTATGGACTGGGATGGAGCAAACATCATTTGGACAGAGGAAAACAAACACCGTCACTGGATTAAAGAGGCAGCTGAAATATGCAAACATGCCCATGTTGTCTGGTCTACACCACTAGGAAGAAAGCACCAGAACCTGTTTAAATCTGCTGATCAGACATGCCACACCAACGTCCTGTGAGCGAGGAAGACCACTAGTGAGTAGTCGAAACTGTCAGCTATGAAAACAAGAGAAAAGAAATGAATCTAAATCATCATAAATCATAAATGATCAGAAGATCAAATGAAGCTCATTCTCCAACAGGCTCCTACAGCTCAAACAGTGAGAAATACAGGACTACATTCATACTATAATACTCCCTACAACTGTACAATAACTCACCCTTACGTAACAGATAATACTCCCTACAACTGTAAATCAACTCACCTTTATGTAACAGATAATACTCCCTACAACTGTACAACTCACCCTTTTGTAACAGATAATACTCCCTACAACTGTAAATCAACTCACCTTTATGTAACAGATAATACTCCCTACAACTGTACAACTCACCCTTTTGTAACAGATAATACTCCCTACAACTGTACAATAACTCACCCTTACGTAACAGATAATACTCCCTACAACTGTACAACAACCAGTGTTGGGGAGTAACAGATTACATGTACTGGAGTTATGTAATCAGAGTACAAATTATGAGTAACTGTATTCAGTTACAGTTACTGTTTCAGTGAGTGGTAATTGGATTACAGTTACTTTGTTAAAATAAGTGGATTACACGGCGGTATTCTTCTGTTTTTCCATTATTTTTATTTACTTTTTTTTTTTCTTCGATAATTCCACTCATTGCTGGAAATTAAACCAGGTCTAAACCAGGACTAAACCAGGAATAAAACCAGGTCTAAACTAGATCTAAACCAGGACTAAAGCCAGATCTAAACCAGGAATAAAACCAGGTCTAAACTAGATCTAACCAGGACTAAAACCAGGTCTAAACCAGGTCTAAACCAGGACTAAAGCCAGATCTAAACCAGGAATAAAACCAGGTCTAAACTAGATCTAAACCAGGACTAAAGCCAGATCTAAACCAGGAATAAAACCAGGTCTAAACTAGATCTAAACCAGGAATAAAACCAGGTCTAAACTAGATGTAAACCAGGACTAAACCAGGACTAAAACCAGATCTAAACTAGATCTAAACCAGGTCTAAAACAGGACTAAACCAGGACTAAAACAGGATTTAACAGGACTAAATCATGCTGCGCGGACGTGTCTCCTCCTCTTCTATCAATAATATTTTTAATACGGTTAAGGAAAGTCTGGGCTTTTTATTCTTTAAGCAGACAAAACGTATGTGAAAATATACCAGTCTTTGCTTCTCTACAACAAACCAAGTAATCCAAAGTATTCAGATTACATTACTCACTTTAAGTAATTTACTGGATTACGTTACAAACTACATTTTGGTGTGTGTAATCTGTAATCTGTAGGGGATTACATTTTAAAAGTAACCTTCCCAACACTGACAACAACTCACCCTTTTGTAACAGATAATACTCCCTACACCTGTACAACAACTCACCCTGTAGATATATTTATATTACAAAATTTCAGTATTTTATTTTTACTTGTCCATAAGCATTTAAAATATAATTATTCCTCATTTGATACCAGTCTCTTGCTATGTTTACTTCTTTTTTTTATTATTGCCATTTCTATTGTTGCTCTTTGTTTTTATATTATATTGTGATGTGTGAGCTACTGTGTCCAATTTATTTCCCTTGTGGATCAATAAAGTTTGTCGAAGTCCAAGTCTGTGTAACTAGAGGTGACAATGTACCGATATTCAGGCCTGAGATCAAGAGTCACAGATTTCTGCAGAATCAGTAAATGAACCATTAAACTTTGTTAGTCTGAGGTGAGAGAGATTTGATTTTGTTAAAATGATAAGTGATCAAGGAGGTATTTTGTTTCACATGCGTCACTGAAATAAACAAATGTGAATCTGGCTTTAGGCACGACTCTAAAAAAATAGGACCAGGGATCACAGGGTCCCTCACGATTCAAGTCAAGTCAAGATTATTTATAAAGCTGTACAAAGTCAGTATAAAGTGCAATCTAATACATACAAAAACACAATAAAACAACACAATACAAATGCCCTGCTCAGCTTGTGTTCAAAGCCAGTGCATACAAATGAGTTTTCAACAAAGACTGAAAAATATTTAAAGATTGGGCTGTTCAAATACCCAGAGGAAGAGTGTTCTAGAGTTGCACATGATACTCTGTGATATGTTGCTGTTTTTTAAGAACCAAATACACAACATTATTTCTTTGTAAAACTACTTCTTGTGCAAAGTTAATATGAAATCCGTATATTTTAACCACCAAAACAGTGAATGTCAAGGGTATTACATAAACACATTTCCTTCCACTAAATAAGCAACAATATTATAGTGTAGTCATACATAATAT